TACCAAATTTGTGCTTAAAAGTTGGCAATGGATAATAACTGTCCACTCATATGATTCTTTTGCAAACTTGAGCTAGAAACTGCTAATCTAATTAGTTTGGCCTAACTAATACGTGTGTATTTGCACATGCTTTTACCCTATAGTTTTGCTGCTGTAAATCAGCTGTCTTTAATCCAAATGACAAAATAAATGCTAACAAATGACAAAAGGACTAAAAATGGTCTACCTTTACTCTTAGGTGAAGCTGTAGTAAAGATTTCAGACCATTAGCTCTTGTGACTTTTTGTGTAGACGTGTGCAAAAATTTGGTCAAAATTGAGCAGTTTTTGTTGAATAACTTTTAACATGTGGCTTATATTTAAACCAAACTTAGGTTGTAAAGATCCATGAAAGTTAGGTATGTTTTTCTGTCAAATAAAGTTTCCATACTTTCAATGCAAAGAAAAAAAAAGGAAAAAATTGTCAAAATTGGAGATTTAATATCTCAAGTATTTTTTAAAGGATTTACCTTGAAACTTAGTATGTGAAGTAAGGGTTAAGTAGACCACATCCACTGAAAATGTAATAGTTTGGATTACTACAGTCCAAACTACAGAAAATGGTAAATTGCTAAACTATCACTCCCATTAATAACACACAGTGTGTCCTGCGGGTTATTTTGGCTGCACAGCACACTACCATGTGTTTTGATATAAAAGTATCTTGTTCTTTCTTTATTCTGAAAGTTAAGAGAAAATACTTTTTGTTACTCATAGTTTAAAATTCCACAACCAATAGCCAAAAATTGTCTGCCAATTTTACTAATTTGACTTTTATAATTATAATGTGATTCTGACTATCAGTTGTTTCTAGACAAAGCTACCATTTAAGTGACAATAACATTTGATTTTAGCTAAAATTTTCCATTCACATACAATTTTCAACCTTTATCTTGATGTGATAAATAAATATCAACAGCATATGTATAATAACATTCTGCTTAGGTAGGCTTCTTTAAACAAAAATTGGAAGCCTCAGTTTTTCCCCCCCTTAGTCCACAAACTAATTAACAATAAAATGCAACCACGCTTACTTAGTTACTACAAAAACTGATTAAAACTTGTAGATGTGGTATGAAGTTCTTGTTTAATTTATTCACTTATTCAAGAAAGATTAGAAAATACTACCTCTCAATGTACATTGTTTTCAGAGTGTATATTACTGATCTAAAAGGAATTAATATTTTTTTTCCACATTTTAAATAAAAATGAAGTCTTTTTGTGAGAGTATCATCATAGGTTTCTGCTTTAGAATTGTGCAAATTTTTGTAAATATGATATTTCTTGATTTGTTTTGTTTTACAATGCTTACTCATTCTGAAAATGATTATGAGTTTTGGTAAACAATAACAAGGTGACTGAGCATCTTATCAGTTTTTACTATATTAGATCCTCAAATTTAACAACAAATTGAAATAAAATTAATGATGCTGAAATATGCTAAAGTTTTGCAAAGAGATTTGGACTAATTGGTGAGCTGGGCTAGTGCTCAGCAGATGCCTTTTATCAACCTTAATAAAAATAGTTAAAAATCTGCAGGAAGAAAGACTTGAGGACACAAGTTTAAGATATGGAAATCTCATACACAACTACAGTCAAGGCAGTGTATATTTCTAATAGTGTAGTTGGTTTACCTTCAGTGTAGTAGAAGATGCAAGTTTAAGATGAGGTTGGATGAGTAGTTTAGAAATTATGGTTGAATATATGAAAAGAGGTTTCTTTATGTAGCTTGAGTAAGAAAATAGTAAAAATTAGATAGCCTATCATAATACAATATATGAACAGTAAGAGTTCATTTGGTATTTCAAGGCTGTTCCTATACATATACCCACCTCTGAGATAACATAAAAACTTAAATCTATCCTTCACCTTTCAAGATGTTACTGATTCATACCCCCAAAAACTTCTGCAAAGTGTTGGTCCCATCACCACAAATGGCAACTCACTAAATAAGCTAAACACCCTGCCATAAAAATGAAATTTTCTTAATAAAATTCTTGTTATCCCTTTCAAATCTCAAACTTGTGTCGTCCTCTTGCTTTATCATCTCCAGAACACAGTCCAAAGAAATTCAATCAATCCCCCAGAATATTTTATAAAGGAGGTTAAAGAGAATCCAACTCATATCCAGAAGATGACCCTTCCATTCTTAGTATCATCCCAGTAGCCCTTCCTGAACCCTCTCCAAAAAGTAACATCCTTTCCTACATAGATCACAAAAACTGTACACAGCATTCCAAGTGAGGACCAACCACTGACCTGCATAAAAAGACAATTGTCTCCTCCAACCCACAAACAACATGCTGAAAAATACAAACTAAACGTCTATTAGCCATGCTATCACTAACAGAATACTGCCTCAATGGCTTAAGTAACCCATCTACCTCCATGCCAAGATTCCCCTTCAGTGATGCCACCTAGTGGGTTTCCTTTCATATTAAATATGTGATCCAAACTATTCTCCAAATGCATTACCTTCCACTTACCATTATAAAAGTAATAGATTCTAGTCTACTTAAACAATTGATCCAAGCCACCCTCCACCATCCCAATACTCTCAATTCAGCCCAAAACACCAAAGAGCCTCATGTCATCTGCAAACCCTCACCAATTTCCCAATCATCCCCCATCAATATCATTAATACAAATAAGAAAAAGCAGAGGCTCAAGCACTGACTCCTGAGGTATCCCATCAGGACAAGAGTCCAGTCTGACCAGATATCACAACAAACCCCTTGCTTCCACTTATCTAACCATCATGAAATCCAATTCACCAGTCCTTCCCTAACATTCACTACTATGGTACATCATAAAAAGCTTTTGAAAATCCACACTCATCATATCCACACTGCTCTTAACATCCAAATTACACATAACATCCTCCAAAAGAAGTTAACATATCAGTAAAAAAAAGTCTTCCATTTTATTCATACTGATCCTCTCCCACAATATCACACCTCACCAGATGACCTCAAAAAGCCTATCAAATTATCTGGAATATCTCCCGCCACTGAAGAAAAAACAATTGGTCTACAACTTCCAGGGTAACTCCTATAACTTCTCCAAAAACAAGAGCAACACTGACAATTCTCCAATCCTCAGGCACCAACCCATCATATACTGCCCACCAAAAATGAAAGAGAGGGAGAGAGAGGATTGCATATCTGACCCCAAAACTCCCAGTTCTGATTCTCAATCCATTTCTAGTCTCTCAATCATTCTCCCACCACCAAGGGGTCATCATCCATGGGATTCAAGTCAATCCCAATGTTTTCCATTGAACATAAATTACAGAAAACAAGGGCCCCTTTTTATTCTGGGGAATAATTACACAAGTGCACAAACAAACTAATTTACATCTGGTAATTTTATGATGTGCTATTGAGCTGCAATAAATGATATTACAACGCAGAGAAAAGCTGGGAGAAAGTTTCAATCATAGGATATCTTTGACGTTTATAATAAATTAATATAAAAATATTCATACCCTATAATGCTTATGTTTATAACGTAATTTATTCTAAGCAACCTTTGAAGAATAACATTAACAGAGGATATTACATTTTATGTTTAAGTTTTAACTTAGTAAATATATTATTATTATTGTTTATATATACACACTAACGCAACCATTTGTCAGTTGCATCCTGCAGAGTTGCAAATTTTTAATAAACTGTATGGCGGATTTAGAGTTCTGGTTCTGACTAAGGTAAATAAAAAAAATCAATTAAAATATAAACGTGATTGTAAGTTAAGGTTACTGTCGTAAAAACATCTTGCATTTTGCAAGAATTTTTGACTGAGGGGTAACTCTAAATTTAATTAAAAGTAAAAGTAATTTAAAGTTGAATTTTGATATAAAAAGTTTCCCATGTTATTTTAAAACGACTTTTTAACTGGTCTGTTCTTACCTCAAACTTATGGATCTTTTTCTCTTTAATTAACTGGTCCAAGACTTTAATGAAATGTAACTTAATTAGAAAACCATTCATTTTGCACCATAGTACAAAAACCGCATTAAGCCTACCTCTTATTAAGTCTTAACAGAACACAAACCCACAATGGATTCACGATACACACAAATCTCTGACGTCAGCAATTTACGAGTAAAATATCATAGCTCTATAATAAATTAATTCAAAATATTCAATATATAAAATTGATACATTCAAAATTGATTACTTTAAGGTTTAAAAAACACAATTTTTTTGTCATGTGCAACTGAAAGAAAATGTTTACATTTGACCCTTTCTGGAATATCATATTATTATGAAAAACTTATAGCTAAAGACTTAAAGTAACACAAACATTAATATTTATAGTAATTAAACGGTGCAGTTACTCTTACATGTTTCTTCGTAAACAATTTATAAAATTAATTAATGAGCACAAAATATGCCAAGTAAGTAAATATAATTTTGTTTAGTTAGGAACAATCAGTTTCATCGAAATATACCTGTAAAAATACAAGGTTTTTCCTATCATTAAGCATTTTCTCATACGGTGTATACCACTGCCTAGCGTTTTTAGCTTGCAAAAATGCAAAGATTTTAGTTTGATTGCTTGTTTCAAAACTTTCACGTAAAGCTACACAAAGGACTGTTTTCTCATATCAATAACTAATTTTCAACGGGTAGACTAAGGGAATGCAACTAATCAACAGCACTCTCTACCAGCTTTGGGGTTACTCTTGTATGACTGAATAGTGAGATTTGACCGTTATTCTTATAGCGTATCATAATCCCAAACTACAGAGCGCTGTTATACAAAAACTGGATTCACAGTCCGAACACAATAACCAATGGACCATGCCCAACTCAAAGAGATTAGAATGTACTTCCAACCTATTTGAAAAAGTTCCTCACTTTGATCCGTATACTGACTTGGCTTCGCGCATGTATTAATGGATTATTTAAGTAAAAAATGAGTGAATTTCACATAACTAGATTTCTAAATACTATTTTTGCAGCATGCTATGATTTTCTATTGAAATGAGTTAAAACAGGTAAATAAATACTAAACATATGAAAAAAGAAAAGTACGTGCTAGATTGTTTTGTTTTAGAGTTGACAAAAATTACAACTTTATTGGAAATAATTAACAGCTGTAAATTCGAGATGCTTAGCATGTAGCGGATTATTACATCATGAAACAAATAAGACGTTTGGAGCACAATATAGGGAGAGATATGTATCTTCTGTTTTCATTTACTGTAAAAAAAAGAAACTGTTTACGTTGTCCCTTTACGAAATGTTATATTGTAATAAAAGAATTACTAGCCATTGTTACAGTAATATTAGTACTAACTAAATTATAAAATTATTATATTTTTTATTTTCGCAACAATTAAAGATAATGCATCATTTTCAGTAATAAAATATTATTTTGCTTTGATAAGATCAACCAACTTCTTAAGATGTGTTAAATACCAAACACAGTTCTTTATAAATGCTTTGTCTTTAAAGCCAAGTTAAAGTGAATTAAAACAGTAGATATTGATGTTAAACTTATCAAATGAGTCAAAGGAAATATTTCGAATGCCATGCACTTTAAAACTGTGTCATCAAAAACTCATCCTCTAAAACAAATCTAATACTATTAAAATATACATTTGGCACCATTTTGAAATACGCAAATAAAACAAATTCCCACAAGTGCCATCTTGGTAGCGGTAACCCAGGAGGACCAAAAACCACCAAATAATGTTTATTATATCCTAGTTTTCAGCTTCAAGGCTCTTCCAACTGAACTATAACATTTTCAGCATATTGAGAAACTTATCTATAATTATGAATGATCCACCCATTCTCACATATTAACATTTATCTTCACATGTCAACGACATTTGTTACTATAATTTATGTGATTGATTAATGCATTTATGATCTGAAGTTTAAAATAAGCAGTCGTATTGTTTTTAAATTGCAGCCGAATAAGTTTCTTGAAACAAAATAATTTGTATCAAACATAATATATGAATCGATAATGTATGTTCAAGGCCTTCTATAACAAGATGATAAAAGATTTTGGTATTATTTAAAATCGAAAAGGTGTTCTCGAAAATGCCATATGTTACTCCATTTTATTGACAAGGGGATAACGTATTAGTTTATTGTGGAATTTTCAAAGTACTGTGCAAAAGTTTAGACATTATTGCTGTAATGTATAGAAATATCTTGTTGCTACAACTGTTACATTCTATTACATGTCTAATATTTAATAAAACTGATGATAAAATATAAAACCTGCTCAGAATTTTTAGATAATTTTTTAATTCCAAATGAACACGACATAAAAAAGTAATAATAAGGAAAAAAAGTAGGATGAATCAAACCAATGGTTAAAGCAGATGGCGCTAGTGTTATGCCATTTCGACTTGAAAAAATTACACGTTTTACTTAATTTTTATACAATAAAAAATTGTGATATTGTTGCAAAACTAACTCGTAAAATAAATTAGATTCCACATTTTATGTTTCAATAGGTTTAGTCAGAAAGAACAAGCCGCAAAAGCAAAATATTTATCGTTTATCCAACTTCATTGTGTTCGCAAACCATCTTTCTATAATGGAGCAATGGCGTGGCCGTCTATATATCTTTCTATTTATGTATGTGACCGAAATAATAAATACAATGGTGTCACCTGTTGTGCTTCTTACTATATTGAAGCAATGTCGTGGTCGTCTATATATCTATATGTCTATGCATGTGAACGAAATAATGAATATAGTGGTGCCATCTGTTGTCTTATTATATTAGAGCAATGGCTTGGCCGTCTATATCTCTATTATGTATGTAAATGAAACAATAAATACAATAGTGCCATCTGTTCTGCTGAAATGGAACGAGATCTCAATGCCAGAAGTAGTGATTGAGGCTTATGAAATGTAGCGCTATCTATTGAATAGCACCACAAACAAAAATCAATAAAACATTTCACATTTTGCGTATTCAAGATTCAGACAATTAGAAAAATAACTATGCTATGTGCAACAACCATTTCTTTATAACAGAACACAATTTTAAATAAAAGTACTCTCCTCACAATAAGAACATAAGTTTTACTGGGACTATACGTGAGGGATTGATTATATCTTTATTGATGTAATTTTTAAATGTAGTATTAAAAAACTGGAGTTCTTAAAAAACTATTATTTTTTCAATAAAGAACACCACTTTTAACATATAAAAACATTACAGTTTATATCGGTAACACATATGAAAAGTTTAAACTCTGTACATTGAATCATTTTGATGCAATAAGATGCGTATGACGAAAGAACACTGTTCCCGTGCAGTACTTTCCAGGACCCGGCATGGCCAGGTAGGAAATTATTATGAAAATGGTAAGGAAGAAAAGGTATTAAAGGTACATACTATGTTTGAGTACAGTGGTGTTTATAGTTTGTGAAATATTGTAATCCACTCAAACTTAAAATGGTATACCAGTATAAATCTATAAAACTACATACTATACCTGTTAGTAGTAGTGTGATTTTAAACATGGCTCGCGGGACTGAAATACCGCTTGACAATCGAGTAGAAACTGATGTTTAGTATCTTAAAGTATGTTCTTTACGAGGCCCGGCATGGCCAGGTGGTTAAGGCACTAGACTCGCAATCTTAGGGTCGCGGGTTCGGATCCCCGTCACACCAAACATGCTCGCCCTTTCAGCCGTGGGGGCGTTATAATGTGACGGTCAATCCCACTATTCGTTGGTAAAAGAGTAGCCTAAGAGTTGGCGGTGGGTGGTGATGACTAGCTGCTTTCCCTCTAGTCTTATACTGCTAAATTAGGGACGGCTAGCGCAGATAGCCCTCGTATAGCTTTGCGCGAAATTCAAAAAACAAACAAACAGTACTTCCCAGAAAAAAAAAAACGACCCCCCCCCACCCGTAGTCGACACGTGCTCTCGACCCTACTACGGGTAC